CCTCTGCAGGCTCAGTGTCCAGCCCCAGCTCTGTTTCTGCCTGGTTTGGGTAACGTGTCCCTGTTTCTCTCTCCCCAGTGGGAGGCATTCCCAGGCTGTGCTTGGCTCATTAAGCCTCCAAGCTGCATTTGTCTAATCTGCTGGGGCTTTGCTGTAATTAGACCCCGCTGATGCTCCAGGGACTCAGTGGGGCTGGTGGTGCCAGTGTGGCCCCAGCCCTGTGGCACTGGGCACCCTGTCCCAGGGCCACCGGCACAGTGGGGTGATGCTGGGGGAGAGTGGCTTGGGCAGGGCTGCTGTGGATCCATGGGGATGTGCTGGAGAGCCCAGCCCAGCCCAGTTTGATGTGATTACGCTGGCTGGCAGCCGTCTGGGCTGTAAACAAGTCCCTGTAATTAGCCCCAGACGGTGACACAGGTACGCGCCTCCCATGCTAAAGAGCCAGGCAGCCCCAACAGGTCTGTCTCCTCTGCTCCCCATCCCTGTCCCCTCTTCCTTCCTGCCCTCCCTCGCTGCCTCCAGGCACTCCTGCTATTGCCCTTCCCTGCTGGGATACAGGGATGCTCCCAGCCTGCCCCTGCCCTCAAACCCAGGGATGGGAGAGCCCAGACCAGGCATCAGGGGCACAGTGGCACTTTGGGGAGTTGCTTCTCCCTGCCAGCGAGTCCCCAGGAAGGGACACGTGACAGACCAGTTGGACAGGCTGGGTGCCACTGGCTGTCATTTGCCTTTGCTGTAAAAGCCTCTGGGAGCTCCTCTGGATGTGATTGCTCTGCTCCCTTCGCTCTCCGAAGGATCGGAAGCAGGCACAGCTCCCTGGGTACAAGCGGCTAAAATTCCTGGGAATATTAATCTTATTTGGCTCCCTGGGAGCAGCCCCTGTCTCCAACTGGCTGAGGGAGCATGTGTGGGCTCCCAGCCTTCTCCTGCCAAGGTCACACATTAACTTGGAGTGCAGCCACCCCAGCCCATTCGGAATTCAGCACAGGCTCCCTGTTCCCAGCACGGCAGGGGCCGACCTGCATCTCTGCCACAGCTTTGCTTTTCTAGAACCACCTCTCCACCTTAGAAGACCCACTTCCAGACCCCCTCCAGCCAATTTTTCAGAACCACCAAACACTCCCCAGCTCCACAACCCCCAGGAAACACAACATCTCACCGTGACCAAAAAGCCCTGATCCCCTCAGAGCGCCCAGCAGCACTGGCAGCTTCCAGAGGAACAGCTCCGTGTTCACCTCACCCACGGGATAACCTGTTTTTGCTTGAGCTCCTGTCAACACAGCTGCGATGAAGGTGCGTGGAACAAAAAGATGCAGAGCAATAAAGATGCATCTTCTGGGGTGAGATAAGCTGAGGTCTGGCAGGGCGAGCTGGAGCAGCGAGTCCTGCAGCACAGCCCGAGCCAGGCTGGAGACCTGGAGCCAGTCTCGTGGAGGAGCCTGCTGTGCCTCTTGGATTTGGGATGGCCCGAGGTGCAGCAATGCTTAGTGCCACTGGCTGGGCACAGTAGATCATGGGCCAGGCTCAGTGTAGCCCCCCAGATGATGGGGGGGGTCTCAGCATCCTGCTCTGCCACACAGCACCGTGTTCTCCACGCCACCAGAGGGGACGGTGGCCAATGCTGTGGCCTGTTTGCTCACCAGATGATGTGCCAGTGCTGCAAAGGGCTTTTCTCGGTGTGTTTTCCCCCATGCCACAGGCATGGCTGGCTGTCCCAGCTGGG